TATATCTATATATATATATATATATATATATATATATATATATATATATATATATATATATATATATATATATATATATATATATATATATATATATATATATATATATATATATATATATATATATATATATATATATATGTATGATTCGTCCCAAAATATGTTGGTAGATCTCTAGACACGGATGGTCTTTACTCTGGATTCTGTAAAGTAGAAAACAAGGAAAAAGAAATCGGGCTGATGCCGGAGTTAGCACTCCGACGACCAAGTTAGTATATTTCTTGTTTAAAGAATATTTGCTATTGAATAATCAGTTATATGTTTATGAAAAAATGATAAATTTTAGCTGGATTAACTTCGTACTATTTATAGGAAGAGAAATTAAGGCCGGACCTGAATTCGGATTCCACTCCTATTTTAGTTGTCACATCAAAATATTCCGGACTTCAAATAACTATTCAATTAAGCTTACCTTGTCCCTTCGATGAACAGTGTTGTGTGCTGCTTAATCCCTAGACTGCACATTCTTTGACATTCTTGACATTTGAGGAGAGGTGCATTAAATGCAAGTCGATTGTGTCGATCTCCCATAGACCATATCTTCTTTCTCTCGCCCTTTCCCTCTCGCTAATTATAGAATGGCCCTCTTCTCGCCCTGCGGTCGACTCTCGAGAGGGCCAAACATAATAACATAATTTACTCTCGAGAGGGCCAAATATTATTCTTATCATAATTTACAAATTAATAATAACATAAACAATTTATTACATTGATGTACAAACAAAAAGTAAATAATAATAATAATAATAATAATAATAATAATAATAATAATAATAATAATAATAATAATAATAATAATAATAATAATAATAATAATAATAATAATAATAATAATAATAATAATAATAATAATAATAATAATAATAATAATAATAATAATAATAATAATAATAATAATAATAATAATAATAATAATAATAATAATAATAATAATAATAATAATAATAATAATAATAATAATAATAATAATAATAATAATAATAATAATAATAATAATAATAATAATAATAATAATAATAATAATAATAATAATAATAATAATAATAATAATAATAATAATAATAATAATAATAATAATAATCTTATATATAAAAAGAAGATATTTTGACTTATAACCCTAAACCTAAACCTAAGGGGAAATTTGTCAATTCAAAATTTGTCATTTTTTTGTTTCCCTTTTTTTTTGTTTCCCTTTCGGTTCCTTCTTTTTTCGCGTTTTTTTTGGTTCGTTTGATGAAAATTTGAAAATAAATAAAACCACCCATGGTATAAGAAACTAAAAACATGACCGCACTAGCTCGAAAAAAGAGAAAAAAATCCATACACGTTCACGCATAAATACACGATCGTCTGATAACTTCCCTATGTGAGCCAATCGGTAAAAGAAAAAACCGAAAAATAGCATATTTCTGCCCCTTTTGATTTTATAGAATCGGATATATATATAAAAAAAAAAAAAGAATTTTATAGAATCGGCGGAAGGGGCCGAAACGCAACTCTCAAATCCTCCGTCCGACAATACCTTCTTCTCAAAAGATTATCGTATTTTCAGGTAAATTAGTATCCTCTTAGGTAAATTTGCATTTTGATTGTTTGATCCACGGAAATTGAGTGTGGCTTTTTTTTTTTTTTTTTTGGTTAAAAAAAATTGTTTTTATGTTGTAATTTCTTACCTGTATCAATTGGTATTGCCTATGTTTTCTATTAGTCACGATAAATTATTGTTAGTTGTGATGATTTGCTATTAAAGGTTTAAACTTTCATGTCTTTGATTTGTTGAAGATTGATAACTCAGAGTTTGCAGTGGTAGTGCTCAAATGAAACTAATGATTTGTTCTGATTCAAATTATTCATTATAGAAATTAGTGTTGTACACTCTACATTCTTACAACCTATTTGTTGTTTAATTTGTTAATGGATTTTAGTTTCTCTGTGGACGACAAAGATTTGGCATCAATCGGCTACATTAAACTTAAGTCTTCACAGAACGTAAAAGAACCTCCAGAATGATGACGATTTGATGATTTATCTGCCATTCTCCTCTTTCTTATGCACGGTACAATTGCAACATCATTTGATGCAATCCCAGTTATTGCGTTTTCTTAATTTCTTTTGCCCAACATAATTCGTATTGAAAAAATAATTGCAATATGCCTATGTTTTGCGTGTTTTTTTCCTTACCTTTTCACTCTACTATTCTGATTTATGTACGATTTACGATTCATTAAATTAATCAATGGTATGTTTATTATTGGTAGGAAATCTATACACAGTGCATTAGGGAACCCCCAAAGTTCCATATTCTTAATTCCTTTACAGCCAAATTTGTGTATGATCAAACAACAGCGATTAAGAACGGCTCCGGAAACAATTTTCTAGACGGTTTAATAAGAGGTTATTGATGACTGTAGAAAATAGCATGCCTTCTTAGCAATTTAACTGAAATTTTTGTTTCGCGCGTTCTAAATATTCAAAAAAATTGCAGCACAAATTTTGTACCAGCAAACATAAGAGGTTAAAGAGAGCTCCTGAAGCAATTTAGTGTGCAGGTAAACAGAGGTTAAGGATGTCTATATATCTCTGTTGCTTTTGGTGAATTTCATATATTGTAGAAAGATTGATGTTTTGGAATTGTGTTTGTTTTCTTACATATATTGTTGAATTGTTTTAGTTCCAGTTATATGATTCCCCAGTGCCTCATATACTACAAACTCTCAGACTGACCAAGAAACTCAATTTTCCGAATTAGGAAAAATATATATTTTTTCCTTCTCTTTATTGTGATAATAAGCTACCTGAGGTTCTATGTTTTTTCATTTCCGTTCTATACTTATTATCGATTGGACAATATTACAAATAATTAAAGTATTTGCACTTATGTTTCCCGAAATTGAAAATTGATACTGATGAATTCTCTTTAAACTACACTTTTGCAGAACTTGGTCATTTTTCGTTATTCTCGGACGAAGATGAATGACAAAGAGAAAAACACGATAAGAAGAACCTTAACTTGCATAATTGATAGGAGGTACTCACTATTTCAATTGAATTTATATTACAACACTTAATGTTTAATGTTATGGAGTTCATTTATTTTATAGGTTTGTGGTTATTTTTCAGACAAAAATTGTGATGAGAAGATGTTTAATCTGTCGATTAATACACAAATTAGCTGATTGAATGAAGAATGGACTAACATCCTCATCCATCAGAAGATTGATAGTTACTCTTCCAATATGCAAGTCTGTATATAATGTGTATAATATTTTTCAAATTTGTATGTAGTACAGTAGCCGTATAATATTTTGCAAGTTTGTATATAATGTGTACCGTGTCTGTATCTGCCTTTTTTTTCCCCTTTTTAAATGTATGTATAACCAGTGTAATGTATCAAAGCAGTTTGTATATAAAATGTTTCATTTTTTCTCCTTGATGATACGACGTCTTATTGTACACACGTTTTTTTATTTGGTGCCTCTACATTAGTTAAATTTAATGTCAGCAAAAGGTTTAACTGAAATTTTGACAGATTTTGGTTCGAATGAGTACACTATTCTCACCATGGTTACATGAACGTACACAAGTTCGTCTTTTATTTTCTTTTGAGCAATAATTTTTTACATCATTTGACACGAAATAATATTATTAAGAAGACGTCTAGAACAATTTGTGTGTAAAATATTTCAATATCACTACAAAATAAAAGAAAATACACTTGAAAATAAGGTGGAAAGTAGAAACATATTTATTTGAAGACAAATATTTGTAAAATCAATAATTTAATATTTTTGCAGAATTCCAAATACGAATTTCTAGATAAATATAGTTCAAGTATTTATTTGTGCGAAAGCGAAAATGCCTATAGATTGAAAGAATGTACATTAAAATAATAATGCAAACATGTAATTTTTTAAACCGAAATTTTGTATTTTCTTTATTTTTGCAGAATTTAAAAAATGCATTTCTATATAAACGACTGAGAGCTTAGACAAATAAATCTGTCGTACATCTAATTATAACATCTATATTTTAGTATAAATTGTATTATGGATGCTTCAATTTGTTCATATATTTTCTAAACAAATAAAATCATCAACGTCATAAATTCATTTTTTTCCATGTTCATAAATGTTGGTTTTTACATGTATTAATTAATTTATGTTTTTCTTAAACAAATTCATGCATTTTTAGAGCAATGCATTTCAATTATAATTTTTTTTTTTTGTTTTGAAATGCTATCCCGTGCAACGCACGGGAATGGTTACTAGTAATAATAATAATAATAAACATATACTTTCCCCAATCGTAATCCAATATGATATGATTGTACTATATCAGTATATTGTATCTTTGAATTTCCATGAAATATTTTCTATGATTCATCGTGAAATTACATGTATACTATTAAATTTGCAATATAAAATGCTTAGAATTTTAAAAAATATACTTAACCTACACTTCAACTACATTAATAGTTATAAAATCTCAATTGATAAATAATCCATACTAGTAGTAGTGGAGTTGTAAAATATTATACAATTTGTGCATGCATTACAAAAAGTATTCATAAGATTGTAAGATAAGTTTATAGTTTTGAATTGTTGATTGTCCGATGCAATTTTTTATCTTTTAAACTTTTAAAGTCATTTATAAAAAATAATGTTCGATGTAATTTTTCTTTTACATTACTAATAATATTATTATTTTTATTTATTTTTTAATGATTTCATATAAACTCTGTTAAATTTTATATCCAAATTCCTATTTAGAATTTGTGATGATTTTTATTTTGTATTTTTTTTAATTGATTTATTTTATTTCAGATTATTATTTTATTTTCTTGCATGTGAATTGATTAATAATATAGTAAAGGGGCATGCTAAATCCCACACTTAAATTTACTAAATCTCACACATAAATTAAAAAAAAATCTCTTTCTACTTATATTTTCTCTAACTTTTTTCTATGATGATTTTTTCCAAGTCACTCAAAATTCGTTAATCTTTCACGTGAATAATCTTAAAAAGTGAGTTTATGTTTATCTAATATTTTTCAATTTCATTATGCCCTTTTTAATTATTTAAATTCATATCAATTCGATTTTTTTTTCTCAAATTCCAATTTTATTTTAGTTTGAACACGTGAAGATTTTTCTCAAATTCGAACTTAGAATGATATGGACGTTTTAGTTTGTGATTTTGTGAAAAAAAATAGGAAAAAAGAAGAAGAGTGAGGAAGGAGAAGATGGTTTTAGTTTTTATTGTTTATTGTGAGAATATGTACAGTAATTGAGTTTATATTTTAGTCTGAAGGTAACTTTAGGAGGGAAATATTTTGCAGGAAAATTAATAGAGCCAAAGCTAATGGGGGCATAAATGGTATAAACTATAAAAAATAATAATAAAAAATTGATTTCTGGCCGGCCAGAATCTGGCAATTTAGCATTGTCAATAATAATAATAATATTGACATTGAAAGTGCACTTTTTTTAAGGCAAAACTTCTGAAAATGTTTTCGGAAATTCAAATTGAATCGTAATTCGGAGTACAATTAGTATTCTTAGGGGTGGGTTTGGTAGGGGCAACCCTATCTAATCCATTGTACGAAAACCGTTTCTGAAATTTTTGTATTATGAAATTCATTACCGTGGTCTTACTAAAAATTTTGGTACACTAAACTTAGGTATACCAAAAAAGCAGTACAATATAGTAATGATAATTATCAATTTATATTGACTACTAATTGTGTTAAAATTAAAAATCATTTTTTGTAAAGCTTTTCAAGACGCATACATGATTAAAATACACCAAAGTTAAAATAAAATAAGATATGATATATTTATAAATATAAATGAATCATGTGTATCTTTGAAAGTTAAGTTCATGATGTAAATATTTATTAATTTTTAAATTAAATATTCTAAAAATGTCTAGACTAAAATATTCTTTAAAAAAATATAAAATTTAGAAATTCGTAGAGAAAAAAAAATTGTTACAAAGATGTCATTTACAGAAAGCGGAATTACAAAAAAATGGAAGATCGTTCCATTGAGATACGAAATAAAATTTCTCAAAATAAAGATATAAGACAGAAAAAAAAAATTAAAAAAAAAAATAAAAATAATTACAAAAATTCCTTTAGGTTGCCCTATAGTTGCACTAGGATTGCTCTATGATTAGTTACTTATACATATATAAACTTCCGGATTTCGGAACGAAAAATCTTTGTTCCAAAATCGGAAATATCGAAATCGACATGTTCGGTTTCCAATTTCCCTCCCTAAATAACAATCCACTCAAATTGCATTATCCACCATTTGTATAGTATCTAATATATCCCGAAGAACTTAATCAAAATCGATGTCCAAGAAACAGGTTTAAAATTCTATAAAAAATTACAAAATCATGATATAAGCTTACGCAGGCTCCACTTTCGGATGAAAATCCGACTGTCCTCCGGAGTTTAGGGCACCTTGATCGGTAGTATTCGATGCCGCCCCGTCGTTTCGTCCTTGATCAGCTATCCAATCGTCCAACAGTTCGATTTCGTCGGATCCCATGCACCCTACCTTACCAGATCCGAAATTCTGCAGCTGCATATTGTATTCGACAAAAACAGCATCAGCTAGCCTGTTCTTTTCCCTTCGGCTTATTCTCGTGTCGAGAAGCTTCTCCATCGAACTTCTCCTCAGCTGAAATCTCGATGCGCCCTCACACGTTTGGCTCAATATTCGAGTTGCCAGCTTTTGTAGATCCGGACATTCGACCCCGTATTTCGACCACCATTTTGCTGCATTTTTTAAAATTTAACAATTAATAAATAAATAAAATCAAGAATTAATTAATACCGTGCTAAATGTCGTTTAAATTTTATGATACTGTTTTCGACTTCAAATGTGATTTTGAACCCTAATTCAGACCGAATTATGCAAAACTCGAAACACCAAATTTTTAGTTGGCTTTCTACTCCAACTTAAACCAATTATATTGAAATTGCGCGTGTCGGGTGCATATCAAGTGCATGTTAAGTTGCATATCGAGTGCATGTTAAGTGAATGTCGGGTGCATATCGAGTGAATATCGGGTGTTTATCGAGTCGGGTGTATATCGAGTGAATGTCGGGTGTATACCGAGTGAATGTCGAGTGCATATCGAGTGAATATCGAGTGAATGTCGGGTGAAAGAGATATGCATGAATGAATGAACATTAAAAAATTCGAACATATATTTAAAAAAAAAAAAATGAAAATTAATCGAACCCGGAGAAATATTCGATCTGTGCTCCTCCGCCCACCCCAAGCCAAACGCGCCCTTGGCATTCTGGTACATCTCGATCTGGACAGTGACCCGATCCTGAACCCTCGGATCCCGGGTCGTGCGCACAACACAGCAGAGCAAACCCGTCGCGACTTCCGGGTCGATAAACATATCGCTCGAGTAGAAAAGCTTCGGGTTCAAATAGTAACCCGCTGCATGAATCGGGCTGTACAGTACACCTGTCCAAACCTCATCTATCTCTTTCCAAAACCTCGTGTACTGCGCTTTGTTCCTCTTGAACCCTTCTTTTATAGCCTCCTTCGCTTGATCCATCGTCTCGTAAATATACCCCATCTGCTCCTTATTATTACACCCCTTCATCCATTCCATTACACGAACGAGAGGAATAGCCGCCTTGAGCACGTTCGACGCCGCCTTCCAGAAAGATTCGTCGCCCACTAAATCAGCCACCTTTTCCCAACCCTCGTTCATCAGAAAAAGAGGAGAGAGAAACATTTTCGTCAGCGTTTTTTTCTCCAAGACGATATTTTCGAGGGTCAAGAAAGGCTGCGTCGACTTGATCTTCGAACTCTGCTGAAACAGATCACGGCCCTCCGTTTTTTCCTTCAGATGCTTCAGCGCATCGGGGTTTCCGTAAATAAACCTCGTGATCGTTTTCGCCTTCTCTAGGGTTTGTTTGATTACGTCCATTTCGATCAGCTTCTCGAGCATGAGCTGCATGCAGCAAGAACCGCTCACCGACCAAAATATCTGTCGGTATTTCTCCGACAACTCCTTCCCCACTTCCTTGGTAAATACCGAACTCGACGACGTGATAACCTGAACCACATTGTCGATCCCGACCTCGTTAAGAACTTTCTCGAAGAATATTTTCATTTCGTCGTTTTTGCCAACGAAGTCGGAAATATCGTACGAGCTGAGATAGACGGTTCCTCTCGGCGAGTCAACTAAAACGTTGACCAAATCCCTCCCCGTTTGACCTTTCCATTCGTCGAGCAAGATAGTGCACCCGGTGTGCGCCCACGAATTTCGAGCCTCGTCGAAATATTCGTTCGCTTCTTTTAATGCATCTTTAAACAGCGGCCCTTTTAGCTCGTCGAGGGTGGGGATTTGGCAGTTTGCGGGACCCATCATGGTATGGAAGCTCGGGGAATTTATTGAATCGAAATCGACCCCATTTTCGAAGAAGAATCTTGCTATGCTCTGTTTGGATGTCTTGATCGATCGATCTTCTTCTGTGGTGGAATTTTGTGGATTGTTATTATTATTGTTATTTGGGTTCGTCGAGGTGGAAGATGACTCGATTCGGCTGCTGTTTTCTGATGAATGTTCGGTTTTGGGACGTTTGTTATTAGAGGATGAAGCGTTTGTCTGAGTGAGCTCTGCGTTTAAACCGGTCCTCTTCATTTTCGAGTATTTTGGAGAGTCGAGTTCGAAATGTATAGCTGACAACATAACATAGAAGAACAATGAGAAACATCGAAATCAAATTTCATCGTACTACACAAATATTGCACAAATTACGAAATACTTTAGCACAAAAACTGCACAAAAGACGAGATTAGCCGAGATAAAACTAAGTAAAATACTGCACAAAGATGAGATTAGCCGAGATAAAACTAAGTAAAAATACTGCACAAAGACACTCGAATCGGTCAACAACAAATGGATCCAACATTGTGTAAAAGTAATACAAAAAAAGGGAAAACGAAAAATGGAAGCTTTTTTTTATTTTTAAATAAAATATTGAAAATAAGATTTTTTTTAAATAAGTTACTACTATTGGAATTTGAATAGAACAAATATATAAAATATTACGTCCTCCGTTTTATTTTTAAGTGTCGTTTAAGGTATATGCTAGAATCCTAATAAATGACGTTCATTCTAATACAAAATCCCGAAACTACCCTTTACGCATATTAAGAGAGCTATTAAATGATCTTTTCTATCGACAAAAATCGTTAATGATTAAGGACAAAATAGGTAAAACGAAATTAACTCGTCTAAGGCGACACGTAATACGGGATAAGGTTTTATGGCTAAAGAGACAATTAAAAAGAAAACCGGGTGAGTATTACAACTCCGAAAATCATACTATAACAATCTTTTAAAACCTCTAAAACGGCAAAAAGGGTCCGAAAATATAAATGTAGGAGCAAAACTACAAAACTTTGAAACATTTCTTTATTTTAAAAAAAAAATCGTAAAGTTACGGGGCTAATTTGTAAAATCCGATTTTTTTTTCGAAACCCTACTAGGTTTTCATTCTCGAAAACTCGCCGCTTCGAAACCTAGAAAAATCCGCCGCAACAACAATTTGCCATTTTCCGCCGATTCGAAACCTAGAAAAATCCGCCGCAACAATTTGCCATTTTCCGCCGCTTCCACACACACACACACACACACACACACACACACACACACACACACACACATTCCGATCTAAAACGTTTTAGATCGGAAATTTTCATTCCGGCAACTATAATGGAATTCCGGCGAACCATGATCACATATAAATAATGCATTCCAAAATTGAATTCCCCTAGATTGTAAAAGTAAAAAAACATAATGAAAAGAAATCTAGTTCAATGTTTCAAATCGAAAATTTATCATCCCGAAAATCCTATACCGCTACGGCGATACCCTGTCGGCCGTTTCGGACCTCAATTAAACACTCTGTTCATCTGATACAACATAACATTTAACCAATGCTGTCAAGGAAACATCAAATTTACCTTAAACTCTCATGAATAACACCCCCAATTTTTTTTTTAAACAATTTCTTGAAAAATAAAAAAATTACTACAGAACCCATAAAATGGAAAAAAATCAAACAACAACATAAAAACCCCTTGAAAAAAAAGGAGAAAAAACTTAAGTTCATCTTTCTTACAAAAACCCCATGAAAGATGGAAGCTTTTGGGAATGGTACAACACAGACAAGCAAACAAAAAAATCAAATGTACAACTGCAGAAGCACATGAAAAAACCCACAACAAAATCAAACAAATAAATAAATAAAGAAAAAGGTATGAAGAAAGCTTACCACCTAGTTTATCCTTATAGCATGCAAACCCCTCTATTTCTTTGGCTTTTGAAATGTAATGAGAGAGAGAAATTTATTTTTTAGTGAAATAAATAATATAATGTATTATGTATGAATTCAAATGATCAGGCATTTATGAGCTACTGTCCACGCTGGCAAAACCCGTCTGACGCGTGTGTTCAGGTGTTCCTTTTTCGTGTAAGAATTTACCGGGTCGGGTTATGAACCACCCGGTTTGCCGGTCTGAATTAGCCGGTTATACTTCCATATTTAATTGACAATTTGGATTTTATTTTTTTTAATAATAAAATGGCCCATTTCGTTTGTCCGGGCTCCCAAATTGGATTTTAATTGGGTCAGAACCTAGGCTACAGTCCAGATACGGATTATTTTTAGGGTATATTAAAAACCAACCCTGAGGTATGGTCAAATTATGAAAACTCCCTCTTATATTTAGATATTTAACTCTACCTACCTCAACTATGAATCTTCTTACACGTCCACCCTTATTTATGGTGTCAAATTTAACATAATCATCTAGATTCCGTGGAATGTTCTCTAGTTTGTACTCGTTTTGTGCAAAAATACAGTTTTTGATTTACCAAAATATGATATATACAAGCCAAAAATATACATTTTATGTTCATCCTACTTCAAAATGTGGTGCTCGAATGGAATAAAGCGGGGTACGAAATTGAGAATATTTCATATAATCTAAAACATTCCACTAAATTTAACACCGCAAGAGTGTACATGTAAGAAGATTTATAGTTGAGAGGTGGTTGTAATTTACCCTTATTATTATTATTATTATATATAATTTTTATTAAATAAAGTCTATATTGGTATATACTATTTATCTATCCGGTACCAAGGTCTTCTAAATGATGCAAACTATTTATATACGAATTACAAAATAATCTCGATAAATTAATAACCTCGCTTAAATAATATTTTTTTCCGATCACCGTGAAAACGTGTTAAATTATTAATTCGATAATTTATTTTTTCACTAAATTAATAGAATTTTGTTCGCTCAACTGTATTAATTTATAAATGTTTAACTGTAGTCTTCTAAAATGGATTAAATATGCACCAAGTTTTCACATTTAATTTACACACAACTATGCATATATTGAGTAATCTATGCATTCATTTGTACATACAGTTGAACCTGTATAAATTAATATAGTCGGGACTGGAGAATATCTATTAATTTAGTAAATTATTAAATTATCGAGTTAATAATTTAATATATTTTCACCGAATCGGGACCGAGAGAAACTATCATTTAAGCGAGATTATTAATTTATCGAGGTTCTACTGTATTTAATTCTCTGGATGTAGCATTGAACAAATCCTAGTTCAAAGAATTTGTCAAGTCTCTAAAATGGAGAAATAACAACTAAAAGTAGACTAAGTCGCATTTCACTTGAATAGCGACTCTGTGCACACTCGCTAAGCGAGAAGTCAACCATAGTAGAACCTCTAAACTCACTCTTTCCACGTGGAGTCACGTGATTCGTTCTGACTCGTCATCCAGCAACTTGTATTTGTCCACGTGTCACATCTTCCACAGCGTGCTTTTCGTGCACCCGCAGTTACCGGTACCGCCATTTTCACCATCTTCACACACTCGTTTCACTTTACCGATCACACTTTTTTCCTCAGACGAATAATTTATGTGAAATTAACTCGCGGAGAAATTCTCAGCTGATTTCTTTTCAATGGCGACGAAGTCTCTGGTTATTCTCTCGATTTTTCTCTGCTTGATCTGCTCGAATATTTCACCATGTTCGTCGAAATCGGAAGAAGACGAAGATCTCAGTTTCCTGGAGCAGCAGGAGCAGAACGACGCCGGGAAATTGGATGACGGTGCTCACCCCTACGGCCACCCGCGCGACTACGAGAACTACGACGATCTGGTGGAGGACGACGAGTCGGCGGCGGCGTACGCCGACGAGGACGGTGGATACAGTTCGGCGGTGGTGGACGAGACTCATGTGGTGGTTCTCAAGGAATCGAACTTCACCGAGTTCGTGCAGAGGAACAGGTTCGTGATGGTGGAGTTCTACGCGACTTGGTGCGGCCATTGCCAGGCTTTGGCGCCGGAGTACGCGGCGGCGGCGGAGGAATTGAAGGATGAGGCGGTGGTGCTTGCGAAGGTCGACGCCACGGAGGAGGCGGACCTGAGCCAGAAGTTCGACGTTCAGGGGTTTCCTACCATTTACTTCTTCGTGGATGGGGTTCATAAACCCTACCCTGGTCAACGAACTAAGTAAGCTGTCTGTCTAATTTATATGCATTTGAATTTGGATTTGAATTCGGATTCGCTTAATACTTATGGATTATGTAAATTTGATTAGAAATTCAGTTAATCAAAACTTTCCATTTAATTTTATGAATCATATAATCATCTACTCGTACAATGCTGGATTATCTCTTGTGTAATATAACTGTAATCTTTGAATTTGAATTGTTGTTGAAACTTTTATTTTAGTTTCTTCATTTTGTGATCTGAGTATTTGTGCCCACAAAGTGTTTGTTAAAATGTTTCTGAAGTGGTTGGCTAGAGTAATAGTAGCCTACATACCCGGTGGAAAGATAATTCCAAAGAACTTTTCGGGATGTGGAAAATAATATAGATGATGGAGACTTTTTTGCGTTAGAGCTCAAAAGATGTTCATACTTTTTATGTGTAATGGAAATATCTGAATTATATTTTATTTACCAATTGATGCGACTGTGGTGATTTTAACGAGATGTTTATATTTCAGAGATGCTATAGTTACTTGGTTGAGGAAAAAGACAGGTCCTGGTTTACACAACATAACAACAATTGAGGAGGCAGAACATATCCTGGCGAACGAGGACAAAATAGTTTTGGCCTATCTCGAGAGTTTGGTGGTATGATTGAGCTCGACTTTCATTTTTGAATTTTAGGGATTGTTATTAATTCCTTTTATTACTGCATATTATCACCTCGTTTTTTAAGTTTAAACTCTTGTTGAGGTGGCTCATGAGCTCGACTCATTTACACTTGCATTGTGTCTAACCGATTTATGTAAAACCAAAATATAGGGTCAAGAGAGTGAGGAACTTTCTGCTGCTTCAACTCTTGAAGATGAAGTTAGCTTTTACCAGACAACAATTCCAGATGTGGCAAAGCTCTTCCACATTGACCCACTTGTCAAACGCCCATCATTGGTCATTCTTAAAAAAGAAGCTGAAAAACTTACTCGATTTGGTGAGTTCACTAAATCTGTGATAGCTGAATTTGTAATCACCCATATTTCTTAATTATTCCTTATCTGTTCAGGTGGTCAGTTCACTAAATCTTTAATAGCTGAATTTGTGTACGAGAACAAGTTTCCTCTTCTCACAAATTTGACTCGGGAAAGTGCTCCCGTGGTGTTTGAGAATCCAATAAAGAAACAGGTATTGTGTGATGTTTGCTTACTTCTTTAATATACAGGAGCTAATATATTTTTATATCCCCTGTTATAATTTTGTCCTTTTCAATTTTCGTAGTTGATTCTTTTTACAACGTCCAATGATTCGGAGAAATTTTATCCCATATTCCAAGAAGCAGCGAAATCTTTCAAGGGAAAGGTGAGTGATTATTCGTAGCTTTGCATTACATGATCATAACAGCTTGACCTTTTCTCATGAACAATGTAATCTCCTAAAATACGAAAATATATTGTCATTTGTTGAATCACAGTTTGTGATAAGCTTTCTCTCTAATAATCATCTGAGAAATATTTTGATTGCAGCTTGTATGTGTTTATGTGGATTTGGACTACGAAGATGTCGGAAAACAAGTTTCAGAATACTTTGGCGTGACCGGTGACGCTCCAACTGTAAGCACAAAACTTAAGCCCTTGCTAAATTTTGTTGTTGACTCAGATTTTCCATTGAAGAATTGAATAAAGTGTGAAGATGAGAATGTTGGTTACATTTAAAGATCGAGTTATTGGTTATAACGAGAATGTGGAATGCAGGTTATTGGATATACCGGAAATGATGATGCCAGCAAGTTTCTATTGGATGATGAATTAACCATCGACAGCATTAAGGTTATTCCTCTTACTTCCTTAAAAAATATGTACTGGTTAAAAACAATGTGAGATGTGGTCTAAAAGATTCTATTTTGATGTGTAGACTTTCGGACAGAAGTTCTTAGACGACAATCTTAAACCTTTCTACAAGTCCGACCCTATTCCAGAAGACGTGAGTTTTCTTATCCATTATATATATACATGTGTGTGTGTGTGTGTGTGTGTGTGTGTGTGTGTGTGTGTGTGTGTGTGTGTGTGTGTGTGTAAGCTTTCTTCCAATTCTTTTTGTTATTTTGTAATCCAGAATGATGGAGATGTGAAGATAGTGGTTGGCAACAACTTTGATGAAATTGTGTTGGATGAGTCTAAAGATGTTCTTCTCGAGGTATTCATTTGTTGTCACCGATGGTATCAAAGTATCGTTTATTAATATTCAATTTCTTATTGAGATTTACAAATTATCGTATACGATATAATCTAGCTATATGCTCCATGGTGTGGCCAT